GAAGAAATATCCTTCTGTGACAGCAAGACCCACTTAGTGAATTCCTCCCAGAGATCAGTGCCAGGAAAGCAATCTGCTCTGATAGACACATTTGCTTATGTTCTTTTACCAGACAGTGAGAACTTCATCTGGCTTTCCCCTTTTTCCCTTGGCTACCAGGAAGTTCAGGAAAAAATTACAGCAACCACACCCAAGTGTGTGGAAACACCAGTTTATCTGTGTCTGTTAGCTGATCTTTTTTTTTCTTTATTGTTGTGTTATGTTTTATGGGGCCTTTTCTCAGAAGTCTATAGGAGTAGTTGATATATTCATGCTAAGTAAACATAACATTACAACATGTTCTCTTTGATGAAAGGGCCATTTGGCAGTGGGACAATGGCTTCTGTCTGGACGAGTTTGCTCTGACACCTGAAGTACCTTCCAACCTCCGTGTTACCATCACTCACGTGGTAGTGACACCAATAAGAATCATAGAAGTTAGAATTATTGAATATTAAAGTTAAAAGACCCTAATCTGGATTAACTTCAGGACTTCAAAGTGATCTTTCCTCTACAAAAGCAATTACAACACTGGCAAAAAATTAACACAACAAAATTTTCCAAACTTTAAAAATTAGCTAAAGATACACAACAATCCATTTTTTTAAAAAAATGGCTGAATATTGTTTAGATGGTAAGCTTTGTTGCTTTTCTGGGGCTTTTTGTTGTTTTGGGGCGGGGTTGGTTGATTTTTGTTTTTTGGTTTTTTTAGCGATTCATTCTGGGGGCATCAGTGCATTCATAATTCTTGATTTTTTCTTATCCTTGTAACTCCCCTCCCTATCTTCCTCCTAGATTCTTTGATCCCCTTCCCCATCTCCAAAATGTCTGCATCCCTGTTTCCTATCATTTCCCTTCATTTTACTCTTTAATTCATTTACATTTGGGGCTTCTCATATAACAGAAACCATGATATATTTTGCTTTGCTTTCTGACTTACACTGGGGCCACTCTGCTTGTCCTAGGTCTACAGCAGCCTTAAAAACCAAAGCCCCACAGTCATGGTAACTTGGAAAAGCAGCATCCATGCCGCCACCAGAGCAGCCATCATGAGTTGAAGTCCTCAAAGCTCCCTGTCAGGGGCAATTGTCCCTGTTTGACTAACCTGGACATCACTGTTTGACCTATCTGAATGTCTCCACTCAAAAAGTATGCTTTTATGTGACCTGACTCAGAATTCAATCAGTGAAGAGAGCCTCCTTCCTAGAGTGTTTGTCTAAAATCCTAACAGTAATTTTGAAACTGCCTTTCCCTAAGGTAGTGAAAGCACGTGGAGCAAACAAGATGACAAAAGAAAATATAAAAGGAAAAAATGGATGAGATTCCAAAAAAGACCTTGAAACGCTCCCAGGTACTCCTGGGGATTGAGAAGATCACATGCATGTGCAGGGCTGTGTGTGCCCAGGAAACACCTGAGACTGCTACAGGCTAAGATGTAACCCAGAGGATGCACCAAGAAAATAGCAGAAGGAAATACAGTAAGAGAAATGACAAGGAAATTAAAACAGTAGCCTAGAAAATACCCACAAAAGAAGGCAGCAATGGAGTTGAATAATGAAAAAATGTGACCCATACAGAGAACAAACTTCAAGGTCTAGGAGTGCAGCTCAGTGGCCCTGGCTTCACTGTCTAGCATGTGAGAGAGAGAGAGAGAGAGAGAGAGAGAGAGAGAGAGAGAGAGAGGGAGGGAGAGAGGCAAAATAGTTATATAAATCTCAACTTACCAGCAATTCATTAAATATAAATGGATTAAACATCCAACACAAAGACAGATAATGACACCTCTCCAGAAATCTCTCCATCCAGTCAAGTTGACACCTCAACCAACCCACACACTGAGAGAACAGAAAACACATTTTCACACAAAAACTTATTCACAAATGTTCATAGCAGTGTTTTTAATCACAGTGACAAAATGGAAGTTACCTAAATATCCATCAATAGGGATGGATAAATAAGTGAATTTGGTCTATCCATACAATGGAATACTGTTCAGCAACAAAAAATAATGGAATACCAACACACAGATAACACAAGTAAACCTTGAGAAGGCGATACGAAATGAAAGAAGCCAGTCATGTATTGAATGATACCGAATGATTCTACTTATATCAAATGCCCAGGGTAGGAAAATCCATAAAACATCCAGCAAATCTGTGGTTTCCAGGTTAGGGTAAGGATGGATAATGGGAAGTAAATACTGATAGGTAGAGGATTTTGAGGAAAGGCCAAGAAGATTTTCTGCAGTTAGTGGTGATGGGTATACAACTAAGTGTGAACATGCTAAGAACCAAACGATGCTGAATTGTGAACTAATTACAATTTTATGGCATATGATTATACCTCAATAAAGCTATTACTAAGAAGATCTTAATGCACTTCCTTAACGAAACTCTTCTATAAGTTCCTAAGTAGTCAGCCTCTGCTTGAATACTTGTAACAACAATGTGTTCATTCACACAGGTTAGGCTGCTCTGCTTTCAAATAACTGGTTTTCATGTTTTTAACACAGCCAATGGATTCCTCAGCAACTGCAACAGTACCTGACACATCAGGGGGGCTCCCAAAGTATGATAAAATGCTGGATTGATGCAGTATCATTTCATACTGACACTTCTGAACAAAAAAAGCAAGCAACAACACAGTATATAATAGAACTTTTATCATGATCCCACTTACAGATATGCGCATGTTAAGTTTAAGATATATAATATTTAATACAGAAACATGCATCCACTAGAAACGTTCATGTGCATGAGATACTTCCTCTAGAATATTGCAACACTTTTAAATGGTTATTTCTAGAGAAAAAAGGAAGTTGCAAAGAAGCCTCTATTTTTCAACTTATAATCATCAATGCTGGTTTCACATTTTTTTTTTACCACAAGCACCTATCTAATTTTAGAAAAGACAATTCTCCATTCCTTATCTGGCTGCAGACCCCTACATTCTAACTCATGGTCCATTATTCGGCTCCTTCTGGGTGAGTCTTCACTATGGCTCTCTATGCCCTGTGGCTAGTACTATTTAGGTCAATGTTCTCAGGAGGCATCTGAGCTCCCACTGATGGCACTCTGACCACTGGTTCGCGTCACTGAAGACCAGAGAGCCTGCTTCTAAGCTGCAAGCACCTTTCTTTCCCTAGCTGAGTCCTGGGCAAAGGAGACAGGGACCCCCTCAGGCAAAACTTCCCCATTCTCTGTCTTAATCATCAGCAGCCACAGAGCACAGATCTGCAGCTCCAGGGCCATTAGCTAATGGACTGAGGGACTAATTGAACACCTGGCTGCCCAGGCAAGTAGATATCTAGCACTGTGCTAGACACAGTGTCTACCTGTAAGAACTCTTGAGCACGTCTTCAAAGTCAGGCCTCACACTCACAATGGCAGGATCCAGGGCTTTCTCTCTAGCCTCCCCTTTAGGATTTCGGAGGTATCTTGGCCACTAGGGTTGGGAGGTGCTGGTGAGTGTAGGATGGCAGATGACACCTGCGACAGGATTAACCAAAGGCTGAGCTTATACAGCAGCAAGAGGCGGCAACAAGTCTGACACATCTTAAAAATCCTTTAAAATCCAACTTTCCCAAAGCTTCCTTCCAAGATGCCTCACCATGTGACTGATCTCAAAGGTTCACTGAAGTCTGACTTTTGGATATGCGCCTGATGCATCCAAACTCAGGGCATTTGGGAGTAGAAGTAGGGCAGCTGGGTCAGGCCTCCCTCCTGTTCCCTTCAATGCTGCAGTAGGCACTGAATGCAGAAACAGTGGGAAGTTCGGAGGACATTTGGTTCTTGTAAGAGAAAGAATGTGCAGGGGAAAGAGAGACAAAGGATGAAACACACATATACATATACATACACATATGGAGAGTTAGTTAATTAGCTAGTTCATTGTGTGATTATTCATTATTTGCTTTTTCCAGGCTCCCAACTTTACAATGTTCCCTAAAAATTAAAGGCTCTAATTTGATGAGCTACTTCTGAAATGCTTTCTCTGCTTAACACTAACTAGTATCTCCACTCTATCTAGAAGTCATTCGTAACTATGAACACCATTTATAATGTAAAATCTGTTGTAAAGGGAAACTGAAAATCTTGCAAACCCTGCAGAATTTCTGGAATCCATTAAATCCTTGTAAGAGGACAAAACGGCAGGCTATTCACTGGCAAACAGGGAACAAACAGCCTCACACCAGTGAAGGAACAAAGAAGAGAACATTAGAAGCAGATGACAAGATACTTCAACTGAGAATAATTTGAAAATCAAAAGGTTAAAAGTTGCTTTGGAGTTTTGCACTTAAATTTTAGAGTAATTTTGCAAAAAGGAAGCTTTTTTAAAATAGCACCAAAAAGTCAATCCAAAACAAAGAATGTCTTACTGTGCTATTATATAAATGTGTCAACACAATTAAGTTGAACCAAATCTTTTTTACCATGAAATTTGACACCCCTGCTTTCAGTGATTTTCTGTGTGTGTGTGTGAGTGTGTGTGTGTGTGTGTGTGTGTGTGTGTCCTTTCTCTAGTCCCAATTTTCTTCAGGTAATGAACACCGATGTATAACCTCCACCTCTCTGAGCCCTGGTCAGGTGGTGGTTTGTTACAGAAACACGTATCAGTGGCATGGTTAAACTTAACTAAGCCTTTCTGTATTTCAAGCACTTTTCCAAGTGTTCCACAAGCTTTACCACGCTCATTTCTCACAATAACACTCCAAGATAGAGGATACTTTCTGCCTTTGACTGATAATGAAACTGAGACCTGGAGAAATTAAATAACTTGTTCTAAGCCACACAGCCATCAAATAATGGGCAGTACTGTGAGCTGGCTGTGGGGTCCACACTATTTTCCACAGTGCTGTGTATGTACCATATGCATTTGGACTTGACATCCTCAGGGAAAGAACACTGTCCCTCCTTAAACAAGAAACAGTGCTTCCAGGGCTCTCCCCAGACCCAGCTCACCTGGCTGTGCTAAGGTTACGATAGAGCTGCCCAAGGGACTCCAGCAGGCTCCCCTCCATCTCCCGGTCCCTGAGTTGCTGGGCCAGGGCCAGCCAGTGTTCGTGGTAGGTGATGCATGCCTCAGGATTTGGGGACACAGAGCTGTAGAAATGGCAGAGGGATTTGGTGACCTCAAGCTGACCTGAACATAAAGCGGGTACACGAATGAGATGTCTTGAGATACAGCACAGGCAAAGCATGCCCCAACACTTCTCTCTGACGCTCCCAGCAGCACAGGACATACTCACTCTTTAGGTGTCGATGCCTTAAGCCAAACAGCAGGGCCATTTCATAACAAAGCTGGCCTTGGGTCAGCTGGCGTCCAGACACCAGAACTTCGGCCAGCCAGAGGAGCACCTGTACCAATTCCGTATCTGTGTCCTTGCTGGCCTGGAGTTCAGAATACAGTCGAACTGCTCGCAGAAGATAGTCCTTGGCTGGCTGCTGAGCTTTAAGTGTCAGGTGGCCAAGATTGGCCATAGTCACAGCCTGGTTGTGCAAATCTCCTGTCTCCTGAGCTGTGTTCAAGGCCTGGAGATAGCTCTTGGCTGCCCTGCTCACCTGGCCTTCATCTTGAAGTGCAAGTCCCAGGAGGTTATGGACTACTCCCCTCTGGGTGACACTCTCTGTCTCCTTCAGGGAGCCGAACAGTGGCTCTAGGATCTCCAAAGCCTTCTTCGCCTGGCTTGCTAAAAGATAGGCCCATGCCAGACAGAGGGAAGATTCAAAGGCTTCCTGCTCACCCAGTAGCTGCCCTAGCGCCAGGGCCTGGCTCAGGTAGTAGATGGCACCATCAGGAGACCTGTACTGGAGGTACATTTTGGACAGGATGAGGCACAAGGCCCTCTGAGTGCTCCAGTCAGTCTGTTCCTCACAGGCAGCCAATGCCTGCCTGAGAGTTGGGCAAGCCAGTGCAGAGACTTCACCCCAGTTTGGGGAGGGCATGCCCAGGAGCTTGGTGGTGTTCTGGAGGACCAAGCAGACCTGCCACATTGGAAGAGGCATCCCATGGGCACTGTGAGTGCCACGTTGTTGGACCGAGGCCACTGCAAGATGTGGAAGGTATTTCTTGTCATACAGAAAACTCAAGATGGTGGCTATAGCATCGGAGGCAGGAGGGTGTCCAGAGAGAAGTTGCAGGCGCTCAGCAAAGGGCAGAACCTCCTCATGCCGGCCTAGGCTCAGGAGCAATCGGACGGCCAGAAAGCAGGCCCTGGCCTCCAGGGGGCTGCTGCCCACCACAATTGCCTGGCGCAGCACATAGGCCACTACATCAAGTTCATTCTTGGCACTGAACTCGCGGTCAGGCAAGCAGGCCAGCAGGGCACCGGCCTTTTCCAGCAGGGCTGGACCTTTATGCCTCAGCCTCTGCCTCAGGTAGATGGCAGCCAAATTGATATACAAAGCAGCAACCAGGGATAGGTCCTCAAACGCCCCCTGGAGAATGTGGATGGCTTCCTCAAAGTACACCCTGGCCTGGGAGAGCTTGACTTTTCTAACACTCAGCCGTCCTAGGAGGAAGCAGAGCCGCGCGTGGGCCCAGGTCATGTGGCTCCTCTTGGCCCACTTCCTTGAGGCCTCCAAGTAGGCCATAAGCTCATCCTCCTCAGAAAAGCAGTAAAAGGAAGAAGTGGTGAGGAAAGAGAAGGAGAAATCATAGAGACTCTTGAAATGGTCAGTGTAACCCTCATGATCCAGAAAACCCAATATAGGGGAAAAATTCTCAGCATCCTCCTCATCCTGAGCAGTGTTTAGGTCCATGAACAGCTCCGGGTCGTCGAGGTCATCAGGATGCGGCAGGTGGTAGCTGTCTGAAGCAGCTGAAAGGAGCTCCTCCTCCAGACTGGAGTCCTCAGAGCTGCTGGACCATCTGGAGCCCACAGCCTGATGCTCCTTCCTGGCTGTGCCAGACCTGGCCTCCTTGAAGCCTTCGGGCTGGGTTGCTGTAAGGACAGGCAGAATTGGGCAACCTTGAGTACCTGCAACTAAGATGCCAGCTCCTGGCCAGAGGACAAGGGTGCTGACCCAAAGGATGAGAGGTCAGGTTCAGCATGTTTTCTACTCACCACTCAAGTCATTTGGAAGATTCTGGATGGATTCAAAGCCACCTAGGTAGAGATAAAGGACAGATTTGGTGTTAAGTTAGAAGGGGCCACTGTGCCAATGTCACCAGGGGCCCAGGCCAGTAACCCTAGGAGACTTTGTGTACAATTTCAGACCATCGGCTATCATTAAGGAATGGGTAGAATGTGCCATCTCAGCAACAGTTTGAGAGCTACCTGGACCTAATCATCCTGTTTAATCCACACACCTTACAGTTGGGAACTGAGGTAAAATGAGATTCAGAGTCATAAAAGGACATCTGAAAAGAAGATCTATCAAAAGGGGTGTTCATAAGGGTTGATAAAATCTGAGGACCAGAATGATGTTGTACCCAAATCTCTCAACAAGTTTACAATGGAGCTGGGATAGACCTCCTGGGGCAGGGAACTCAGTGCCATGTGGCACTGCCTCCCTTTCCATGGATATCACATCCTTCATGCTTTCTTCCTCCACCCACTTCCCATCCATCCACTCAACTATCATTAGTTTAACATGTACAACGTGCTGGACACTTGCTTTCTGAAGGTGGCAAGGACCGAGGGGCAGGAATGAATGGTGAAGAAACAGAGCAAGAATACACCCGAGGTCCCCAGTTTTGTTTCCTGAAGTGGCCTGGTGGGATACGGTGGATGACAGGAGAGTCTTGAATGGAGTTTCAATATAGAGCTTGAGTTAAGAGCTCTAGTCAGAGAACAGTCTAGAGCCAAAGAGAAAAACAGAGCGTGCAAATACAGATTTAGATTTCACAGAAGGTTACTAGGAGCCGGCCAAAGTGCCAGGACTGACTGTGACTGCACAGGTGTAGCATTTGGAAGGAAAGTAAGGCAGAAAGGGAGGGAGAGAGGTGGGGAAATTTGTTAATGAGCCTGTTGAACATCGGCATTTCTTGGCAGAGAGCACCTAGTGAAAAGAAACCCAGAATAGCAGAGAGAAAAGGGGAGCTATGGAAACCAAGGTGACTTAGGATGCAGCCTCCTAATGTCACAAAAGTAAAGGAGCTGGGCATGTGACACACATCTGTAATCCCAGCCACTTGGAAGGCTGAGGCAGGAAGATTACAGGTTCAAGGCCAGCCTGGACAATTTAGGAAGACCCTATCTCAAAAGAAAAAGAGCTGGGGGTGGGGGTGTCTAGCTCAGTGAAAAGGCTCTGGGTTTATTCTCTGATGCCGCAAAAAATATAAAATAACACTAGCTAATAACAAAGAGGATACCTTGAGTTTGGCAGTGAAGAAATGAATGTTCTTAACTGAATAGCCACAGTGGAGCTTGGTGAATAAAGGCCAGGCTCCTATAGGACAGGGGATACCATAGAGAAGACTTCCTGGTGGAAAAGCACCCCTACTGGGTCTCCAGTGAACTTGATGGACCAGCAGACCCCTCATCAAATCCAGCCGCTTTGTGTTCTCTGCAGAAGGCTTCTTCTGTGGTTGCCGTGGCAGATACTCATCTGCAAAGTGTAGGAGTCTCTACAGCCAAAGATGCGACAGCTAAAGCATCCAGTTAGGAGAGCCGTCCACACACAGGGCCTCCTGCCAATCTTACTACAGCCTTCTGTCTTAGGGCCTAGCCACTGAGAGCACAAATAGTGCCTGGGTTACAAAATGAGAGGCACTCCTTCCCCACGCATAGACCCTGGGAGAGCTAGAACTTACCAAGAGGATGGTCCCTCTCTGTGCTGCCCTGGTGCCGGGGCAGACTGCACAGCCCTGAAACACAGCCTTCACCCAGCAGAATCTCTCTTGCCCCTTAGACAACATGCTTCCTGAGACCTGTTCTTAAGTCTTCCAACCAGTGGGCCGGTAGCCCAGTCCATCCACGCCCAGCTCCTGCCAATGCACAGCCCAAGTATTCCTTGATTCTCAGACCTCTATTCTTGCCTAAGCTCTCTGCTCCTACCTACTGGGTACTGTCTACAGCTTCAGCCTCCTGGCTCAGCCTCGCAGAACAGTCTGATCTGATCATAATTTTCAAAGAAGCTCTGCTAGGCTGAGAGTTGCTGTCGAGCATATGTGCTACTCACAAAGGCATCTTCTGCATGGAGAAAATTTTTACCTGCTAATCCTGCTCCTGAGAGCTGTCCTGGAGATGTGCTGTGCACAACCCCTGCCTGTGCCATGAAATACGGCCATTCCATCGGTCACACAAGCGTGGACACATCATCACTGAGAGGAAGAGGATGAGCCTCTGACCACGCATCGTCAGAGAGCAGGTGCACTTCCCGACCCCAAACAGTGGACCTCTCCAACCATAAAGGAAATGAGTACCGCCCTTCATCCACTCACGCACTCAATCATTCAGGCACTGCCAAAACCTGTGCTAGGCACTGGGACCACTAATCATCCCCCAAGATTCACGCACCCAACTTCTCAGTGTCATTTCGTGTCCGGGGCAAGTGTGGTGAAATGGACTGTTCCGACTAGCAGTTAGGAGACAGCTGACTCGTCCTGGCTCAGGCATTCACCTACTTCCACCTCTACAAAATGAGGGGAGAAATCAACTCCCAGGGCCCTTTCCATTGTAACACTTGATGGCCCCACCTTTGCTATTAGGTACTTGGTTTAACCCTGAAAGAACACACTTCAGCCACAACTCAGAAGTTCTTATCAAGACAGGGTGAAAGGGCCAGTACAACTGCCACTCACGGTATAGGCAACTGGGTTTCACCATACCCTTATAATTTCTAGGCAATATGTTCCATACAACTTTAGAGTTAACTGAAATCTAAAGTGAAACGCTATTAATCAATTATGATCCAGGTAATTAAAATGAATAGTGGTCATAGCCTCATATTCCCAAATGGGATTAAAATTGAGAGATATTTTCTTTTTGGTTAGGGATGCTCTCCTAGTCTTGAGGACCTTGGGCTTTTACTGGGGCTGAGGATCCAGCACTCACTCAGACGGTAGACAGATGCGATGTCCGTGTGAGCCAGTGTGTGGAGGAAGCTGGCACACTCGGCTTTTCGGTCGCTCCCCAAGGCCCACAGAGAACTTCTCTCCTCCTCACTGAAGAACGCAGAGTTCCTGCTCCTGCATTGGGCAAAGGACAGAGACAGCCCTGTGTGAGGTTCCATTCTTCTCTCCACGGCAGAGTAAAGCGAAGAACTTAGAAAAGCTACCAATTTGCTGAAATCAGACTCACTGCTGCAAACAGTATTTTTACTGCCAAAGAAGGGCTATTAACACCTACCTCGTGCACAGAAAACTGAGCTTTGTGGTTTCCAAGTAGAACAAAACACAGATCAAAACATCCCTCCCACTAAAACTCCACTTCCCAAGGAAAACGAAATCTCTCTCTCAATCTCTGCCCATCTTTTGAGGCCACCTGGTAACCATTTGTAATTGCAGAAACAAGAACTAGTTGCCTCTAATATAAATGCAAAGGAATCATTAAAATAAGTTTCTTTTTCCTTAGGTTATTTTAGAAAAAAGGTAGGGACTAGTGGTACAATTTAGTGGAACAATGAAGAAATTTTCAGAGTGATCAGAATTTCTGAGACTTGATCAGAACAGCATTATGTAGCCTTAAGACAGGAAAAGAATTACTAAGAGCAAGGAGGGCTTGGGGTCTGGAAGAAATGATTATAAACAAAAGAGATTCTTTTATTTATCCTGCTGTGTAATCTAAATGTTAAGACTGATTTGCTTACTAAAGATTTCTTATGAGATTGTTAAGAACTTGTATAGAATTTTCTAAAACTCTGAAATCTAGCAGTGCCTTGAAAGCATTTAGTCCAGTACCTAGCTGAGATCATTTTTTTTGAGATCACTTGCAGAAAATTTTTAAACCTCAGAACCTATTTTTAAAAGAAAATTACCTCGGGAAATCCAAGAGTTAATAACAGCTAATTCTTTCGGAGGGTGTATGATGAATCAGACGTGTTATTCTCTCATTTAATTCCCATAATTGCCCTCTGAGGCGAGTCCTATTTTTATCTCTTTTTTACGAATGAAGAAACAGAGGCACAGAAAAATGAAGTGGATGTTGAGGAAGTGGCACAGCAAGAAGTAAGAGCACTTCCTTAGTTATCACGGAAGCCAAGGAAGGATGAGGTCCGGGTGCTGCGGTTCACCTCTTGCTGTTTGTCCCCATAGCAGACATGAGCAGAGTGGAAGCCAGGGATGGGAGCTGGCGTCTCTAGGTGCTGATCAAAGTCTCAGCCTAATTCACAGCAGAACCGGAGCCAGGGGTTACAAGGCCTGATGTCAGCCCCAGACTTCTTCCCACGACATGGACTGACCCGCTCTCCGCTCTGGCCTGATCGCTAGATTCTCCCCAGCCCCACGAGCCTCCAGCCTCAAAATAGCACGTAATTGGAATCTACAACTAAATTTAGTTGGGTATTTGCATATGCCCAAATTTTTGTGGAACCCCTGAATTTCACAAAGTATTCTGAAACTCGCTATTTCATTCAATACCTCTTACAATTCTATGATACGGATTTTTAAGTCCATGTTTTTCAATGAAGAAAATGGTTCAGAAAAGTTCAATGAGATGTTCGGAAGTTCACAGCTAGAAAGTAGTGAAACTTAGGCTGAAACCGAGGTCTTGTACCTCTGTATCCAGTGCCACGGATCTAATTTGGTAAGGTCTTGGCTTTTGGGTATTTCGAGAGTCCGAGAAGCTTAAAAAGTACATTATGGGTTTCCAAACATGAAAATACACACACACACACACACACACACACACATAAAACCGAGATAACACATGGAAATACATGAGATCCAGAAACAAAAGCAGAGACCAAACCCAAGTTGGAGGGTGAGAGCAGATGGCCCAGAGACCCGAAAGCATTAGTTGAGACACTGGCTCTCAGAACTGGGGTAATGACCTTGTAATGACCCCGGGAGCAGGAGAGTGACCGTGAACCTATTTCAGCAGGGAGCTGAATTAGGCTCCCTTCATAAAGCATGGAGTCTCGAGAGGTAGCAACCTGCTAAAGGGCTGGTTGCACAATTTCTTACTACTTGCCAAGAAGCCACTTTTAATCTATCTCAGTCCCCAGGAAAAAAATTAAACATCCGCCTACACCATCAGAAGGTGGGGATCTGAATTCACATGCACAAAGTAGGCACCACATTAAGAGAACTTAAGCTTATAAATCAGTCCCAGAGCCAGACCTGGTGGTGCACACCTATAACCCCAGCATTCTAAGAGCTGAGGCAGGGGACTGGAAGTTGAAGCCCAGCCTAGGTGAACCTGTATCAAAATTTCAAAAGGGATTGTAGGATATATTTCAGTGCAAGGCTCTGGGTTCAATCCCCAGTACAAAAACATACATATTTTTTCTCAATCCTGAGTTTCTAAAATTCTGGGAGAAGCAAATGCAAACAAAACCTACTCTGCAGAAAGGTTTCCTTCAGTCCAGGATTCATGCAACATCTGTCTTTTAAACTGTTGAAACTTAATTCACATAACAAAAAATATATATAAACCCAAAATAAAATTAAGAAAAGGAACCACCCACAAAGAAATCAAGCAGATGCACCAACCAATAAATTAACACAAAATTAGAAATAATAAACTGAAAAATAAGCATGATTAAAACAATGAAATAAAAAGAAAATGGAGTACACAATGAAAAGATGAAACACCGTGAAAGGAAATAACCACACATAAAAAATAAGAAAATACAGATTCAAGAAATGGAAAATGAAGATATAGAAATTAAGGATGATGAGAATGAGTTGAGCCACAAGTTTAGTCAGAGCAGAGGAGAAAATTCATGAAATGCGGACCATTCTGAGGAAATGGCCTAGAATGTGATCCAGAGTGACAAAAATGTGAAAAATAGGAAGAACTTGGTAAGCACAGTTAAAGACGGAATACGTCCAACATACCTCTGATGGAAATTCCAGAAGAGAGACTACATGGACAAGAGAAAGGCAGTATTCAGAGGAGGAGAGTTTTCCAGAGCTGAAGAAAGACATGAGTCTTCAGACTGAGGAAGTATAGCAAGTCCTGAGCAAAATAAGTAAAATAGTATCTTTGTTAACAGGATGCCCATTTCTTAAGGTTACTTATCTCTTTCTCCTATTTTTACTTCCGCGTTCAGATTACTTAACTGTTCCAATTCGTGGTGTGAATGAATCAAATATAATGATAAAAACATAAATTAATGAAATAAAAACAAAGAAACAAGAAGAAAATAATCCAAGGAAATGTTTTAATTGATGTAATGGAAAACAGAGATGGGGCGGGGGAATTAGCTCAATGGTTCCACCACCTGCCTCGCAAGCTCAAGGTCCCGAATTCGATCCCTGGCACCAAAAACAAACAAACAACAACAACAACAAAAAATCTAATGTGAAAACAAAGATGGTCTACAAAAAAAAAAATGAATTACTTCTTTGGAAAAGTGAATACTATAGACAAATATAAAATCCTGGCAAAATAGGCTTACAATTTTATATTGACAGCTATTTTTCCCCACAGTTTGAAGATGTTACTACTACATGCATAGCTAAATTATCCTTTAAGGTTATATTTTAAAGAAAATTCATTAAAACAAACAAGGCGTAAATACTGAGTATTTACAACTCACAGTTCTTCACTGAAATATGTAACTACTGCACAACATACCTTTGAAAAAGAAGTGGATAATCTGCAATGAACATGTGATACAATATAACATGTAGATGGTACAATTTTAAAACATCAGTGAAAAAGGGGGGAAATTAAAAGATAAGAAGAGACTGCAAACCTGCAGAAATAGCTGCGAAACTAGCAGTGAAATTCTAATCAGCACAAATAGATGTCATGAGAAATAAAATTATAAAAAAGACAACAGTATGAAGACAAAAAGGATTACAACAAAAGAATTTTAAAACTTTTAATATTATGAAATATTGAGTTTTCTCCTATATTCCTTTTTTTCTGCTTTTGAGTGTACTAATCAATCTTGGGCTTATTTTTTAATTTAGGTATTTAAGTGTACAAATATCTTTTAAGTAATATTTTATTAAAATTTACCCTACCTATGATAATGTGAATAAATCCAAATTTGCAGTGTTACCCAAAAAAGCCATTTATGGAAGATATATATAAAATTTTAAATATTTAAATCATAATTTTTTGTTTATAAACAAAAATATCTCTAAAATGATCAGAATAAGGATTAGAAAGATACATACCAACTTCTCATAGCATTTGCCTCTGGGGTGGGAATCAAGATCAGGTGAAAAGCAAGAGAGGCTAAAAAGGCATCTTCAATTATATACATTTCAATTATATCCAAAACCTGCTTTCCCTCTTAAAATACACAGAAACGTGTGTGTGCACACACACATTTTTAAACATTAAAAACTGGGAGGATGTGTTGTTCTGTCACCCTCAAAACCTCCAAGATCCCCAAAGTCATTCAGGCTAAACCAAAACAGTACTATGTCTATTTGCACAAAATGCTTTCTTCAAGTTTTGAGTACTACTTTTCCAGCTGCTGTTGCTAGGAAGTTGATGTTAAACTAGGTAGCTGGTGTTAAAATCTGTTCCAAGAAAAGGAAAAAGACCTTCCCGTGTTGCAAGCACGAGCTAAATGGGCTTCAGAAAGCAGCCTCGGGAGAAGTTCCACTCACTACTCTGGTTTTGAAGGTGCACACGCACTGCACACGCACATACACACGTTCACACTCGGACGCTTCTTGGAAGGATTCATCAGCACAGGGAGGGAACTCACGGGAAGAGGATAGAGACTTCAGCAAATGCGGAGGCCGTCCTCAGAAAACCACAAAAATGGAACCCAGTCGCAGAGCGACACCCAGTGGCCAGTCATGGGCACAGCGCACAGGGACAGAACCCAGGAGACCTCAGCACCCACCTGCTGCTTGCGTCCTCTGAACACAGTGCATTCCTAAATTGCCACAGTCTGAGGACAACTGCAGCCCAGAGAGTGCTGCGAAGGACGGACAGGGACCGACCCGATTCCCCTCCCTTCTGCTTCCTGGCTCTCTTTCCCCTTCCTTACCAACTCCACAGTCTCTCGTGCATGGGGTTCCTCAGGTGAACCCTAATGAGTGCCACTGTGGGTAAGGAAAAAGTAGTATCACCCAGTTACATATGCTTTGGGGGCAGTCTAACCCAGAATCCTGCAAACCGTTCCAGTAGCCAAGCCCAGAAGCCTTTCCTCAGGTGGTCCTGCTCTACCTATTGAGGCCGGCAACGGTGTCAACTACCTCCCCCTCCCCCCAGGCCGTTCCTTCCCTCAGTGGATTTCTCTGTCTCCTTTGCTCCGTTCTTTCTACCTCTGCTCTGGGTCTCCCCACTAAGTCTCTGTTCCTTTCATACCTTCTCCCTCTCACCAGAATCCCCATTACAGGACCGGTGCATTTAACATGAAGATTCTGGGCTTCCAGATCCAAAGCTTTGGTTCAACTCCTACACTTCTGCGTTCTCACTTCCCACTGAAATAAAATAAAGGGTTCTGGTCTCCCCTTGCTAGCCACAGCCTTTCCTAGCTAGCTCTAATAAATGGCACAGCCCGGGCTCCACCCAGACGTGAGATAAGTTCTGCCTCTGGGGCAGAATTCAGCTCTCCAGAATCTTTATCTTCCAGCAGCAGCCTCCCCTCTCCGTTACTGCTCTTCCCTCAGTGCTGGCCTTAACCTTGCCTTTGGTCTCCAGTCTCCAGCAGCCAACCTTCCCCTGCTGATGCCTGCCCCACTCAAGCCAGGTTTAGCTTCCAAGAGAGAAGTCCCACTCTATAATCCGTCTTCCTGGCTCAGACACACTCTACTGCTCCCATTCTCTGGAAAGGGGACAGGCCCTGCACAGCCACCCTCATCTTTCCCAGCAGGGAAGGTCCCACCCAGGCTCTGCTGCAGCAATGTCTCCCGGAACCTGACAGGGACCTGAGTCATTCCTTCAGCCTCTCTCACTGTCCTTCTTACGTCTGTTAAAGATCTGACATCATGCAAAACTTAACTCAGATATCGCCTCTCTTGAAAGTTCTCCAGATACCCTTGTCTTCCTTACAAATCCCCATAGCCCTCCAGGCCTCTCCAGGAGCTCAGTGAATAGTCTTCTGTTTTGTGTGATTGGAGTTACACATTTCTGCACAGGGAAAATGGCCTTCTATGTCCTCTCCTTGTGAAAAGTGGGGCAGAAAGGGAGCTTCTATCCATTGGTCCACTCCTTATTGACTCTTTCCCATGGGAAGAGGAACTCTAGTATGAATGTTGATAGCCTCGGCTATTCCTTGGGCCACATTTTCTCAGTGTCTTAACATGAGGAGCCAACTCTCTGCTTCCTCTTGTACTTTCTAGACCCAGGTTTCCTACTTTTCCTGTCACCTGTAGGAAGCCCACCCTAGGGGGACTGCATGATACTGTGATTCACCTTCCCGGCTGACTGCATGGGTGGACCAAGCTGGCCATCTTATGCATATGCTCCCCACAAGCAGCCTTCCTGGATTTAGGGAAGAAAGGAGTAAAAGACGAACTCTGCTTTCCTATCCAATATTGATCTCCCACATTCAGTGATTAGCTTGAATGGCAAACCTGTACCCTACATGGAACCTATCTCCCCGGCCAACATGGGAGTGGACTGCCTGTGAACCAAGCTGGTAATCTGTTGTTCCTTGTGTATTTCCATCTCTTGATGAGGCCCTTGGTTGGACAGGGTGAATGGAAGGATCCAAGTACCAAAGACACACCCTTGAAGCCTAACAGTGGGGCCTTTTTCTTGGGGCTCTGCTTCTCTCCCTGCACACAGGAAAGATTCAATGACCCTCTGTTGAATGAACCAAACTAACTTGTTCTTTGATCACTCACACCTCCTCCGTAGCATTCTATGTGCTTTGGCTGACAGAACTTGCTTCCTTGGGTTGGCATTTGCAAAGCACTCCTGAAGCTCATGTGCACAGCTCTCAATGGGAAGGAAGCACTGACAAAGGCAGCCCGGCTCCGGGACAGACTCACTGCCATACTCACACCGGGGAGTAGGAATCAGGATCTATGTTCCTGGTGGGGACAAAGCCCACTGCTCCTGAGCTCACTGACTTCCCAATGAACCACTGGAGTCCAGGGATGACAAAGCCAATGATCTCGATGCTTTCTCCCTGGCAGAAACTCAGTTCATCGTTTTCTTCCTGCTCATAATCCTTCAAGGCCTTACATCTTCCTCTGCCTGTGGGAAACAGCACACGGGTCAAATGCAGACAGAATCATCAGCTGAGCCTTCCCCTACCTGCCAGTATCATACTGACTGAGGGGATCCCAGACTTTAGATACTAAAGACCAGTACAATTCCATCCTGGCCTGAAGAAACAAACCATCTGGGATGGTACAGAGTCACCAGCTTTGCATTTTGCCAAACCAGGACATTCAAAAGAGAGGAACTGTGGCCAATTTTCATCGTCATTTTGTAAGAGAGGAGATGTTTTAAAGGCCTGAGAAAGATATTCTCAGAATACAGGATATGTCTTAAAATTTAATAAATGAAGTTTGTGGAAAACTGAAAGTTCAGTATTGCCCCAGTTTGATTTTGTCACTGTCATGTAAACTCTTGGTCTTGGCAAGCACAAGTCCACAGACTGGCATGTGAGAATGAACTGTTCCACCAGAGGGTCCCTACATCTTTTCACCTGCTTTGCCCTCTGTGAGCTTCAATCTCTCCAACTGTAAGATGGGGTAATGAGAATGCCTGATGCTTATGAATATTAAAGGGAGCCAAAGAGACAAAATGCACCATGCCCGGACCCTAGTCAGCCCTCCATAGATGGTGCCTGGTTACCACCAGCGGAATGGAAGGTGTGATGGCCAGAAGGATCTGAAAGACTCTGCTGCTGTCTGTAGTAATTATTCAGTTTGATAAGTTGCCTAACTAGGATCTAATGGTGACATTTTTAATGTTGTGCTGTCTGTTTTACAAAGCATATGTATCCCTTTTCTCCAATCTTCCCAAGAGCGCTAACGGGAAGGCGGGCGGCTATCAGAATGATCAGATTAGGAAGCAGAAGAACCACTAAGAGTTGGCCCAAGGAGCTATGGGCATCAAAACTGAAACCCAAACTTAGGCCTTCTGACTGCTGGTTACACCTCTTCCCACTAATTCTGTGCTGGTGGAAATAACACCTTTTATGTGCCTTGTTTTCCATATTTACTTTTGCTACTCTGCTCATACTACTGGTTCAATTTTTTTCCAAATGTTTTTGCCAAATCCCTATTATGTCTTCATGATGAGAAATTCCCAGTATTTTTGTGGGTTTATGGAATCCACCAGGTGTTAAAAATCTACAATGAGAGGAAAAGGACTGAGAGACTTACAGATGACATTTTGTTTAGTTCTCTTGACAAGATTTAAAATTGGTTTTATTATATCATTTTACTAATAAGGAAGTAGTGGCAGATGAATGGCCAAAGTCAACATTTGAACGAAGAATGGACTTCAAAGTCCCCCATTCCTACTGGGCTACACCCTCAGAAAGCTAAGTATCTTGTTAATGGTCAATTATTTATTAGTTCTAGTGTCTGGGTCCCATAATTCCTTCTAGTTAAATTTTTTTAAGTGTCATTTGAACTTAGATCTGGCAGAATTGCACCTTTTTAAAGAATATGTGTCAGGATGCAGGGGAATACTAAGGACAAAAATAAAGGAAGATACATTCTAGATACTGCATTATCCAGTGGATACACAGTACTTATAGGATGCATGTGTGTGTAGACAGATGATAGACAGACAGGCACAGATGGAAAATACCTAATGTGTGTGTGTGTGTGTGTGTGTGTGTGTGTGTGAATTTCACTCGCTTGGTCAAAAAATGTTTAATGACTTCACTGTTGTACCAGGTATTCACATTCTTCCTAAACTCTAGCTAATTTCACGGTGCTTTAAGGGAAATCAGAAAAATATTCTGACCAGGAATTGAAAACAGGCAGCCCTCAGGCCACGTTTGGCTCACAAATGTTTGATTTGGCCCACGTGAGGCTTTTTTTCACCTGACGATCTTAAATCCCTGTCATCCTCACTGTGGCCTAAGGCCCTCAGCCAAGTCCTGCACACATCAGTGTGCCCACCTGCCCCTGCAGGGATCTGTAGTGTGTGTGTGTGTTTCACTCGCTTGGTCAAAAAATGTTTAATGACTTCACTGTTGTACCAGGTATTCACATTCTTCCTAAACTCTAGCTAATTTCACGGTGCTTTAAGGGAAATCAGAAAAATATTCTGACCAGGAATTGAAAACAGGCAGCCCTCAGGCCACGTTTGGCTCACAAATGTTTGATTTGGCCCACGTGAGGCTTTTTTTCACCTGACGATCTTAAATCCCTGTCATCCTCACTGACTTCACTGTTGTACCAGGTATTCACATTCTTCCTAAACTCTAGCTAATTTCACGGTGCTTTAAGGGAAATCAGAAAAATATTCTGACCAGGAATTGAAAACAGGCAGCCCTCAGGCCACGTTTGGCTCACAAATGTTTGATTTGGCCCACGTGAGGCTTTTTTTCACCTGACGATCTTAAATCCCTGTCATCCTCACTGTGGCCTAAGGCCCTCAGCCAAGTCCTGCACACATCAGTGTGCCCACCTGCCCCTGCAGGGATCTGTATCTGCAGCCCTGGATTAGCACCTCTTACTTCTCAGGCAGGGAAACTTGTGCACAGACAGGGACTGGCTTCCCTAAATCATCAGTAGCAGAGGCAAGACAGAAATTCCCATCAGCTGACTCCAAGCCTGCAGATAAAATTAGGAGACAGGACAATATCCCCTAACAATACTATATTTTCAACTCAGCCATACCAATTTGATAGGAGCCTGTCCAGTCCCTCTTCCTGGAAAGGCCACAGCTTCCTGGATAATTCTTTAGGAACCACCTGCCAATGGAAACACGGGGTTGGCAAAAGTGAATTTCCAAAATTTAGAACAATGAGAATCGTCCATTAGAAAAAGGATGATGGCGTGAGGATGGTGATTATAATAAGGATTTGTTTAGCTTATTTTAATGATATCAAATACTAATTGAAAACTTACTTTATACCAGACACTGAAAAGGAGAGGGGTTCAGCAGACCGGGATGTTTGCTGGCTCAGCCATTCGTTTATCAGTTAAATAACCAACAAAGGACTCCTTTATATTCTCATTGTCAGAGTCTCTGTCAGTGCCAAGCAAAGGGTCCCTGGTCCGGGGTAATGTTTACTGTCACTTTACAGATTTAAATTTATGATAGCTTCCAGCAGGGACTCTCAAACTCGGTTCAGAAAAAAACCCTCTGGGGAACCTATTTAAAGTGCATTTTCCACAAGAACCTAGAGGCATTTATAGCTAAATGGATGCACATTGAGGCAACACTTTTTTAAGTGAAATAAATAGGACACACGTGTAAATATCGAATAGTTTCTCAAGTGTGAGAAACTGAAAGTGTAAACAAGGACTAAAAGGTGTAACAGATAATGTGAAATGGGAAGAAAAGGTGCAAAGGGGAAGGGGAAGTGAGAGGGGTAGGGAAAAGGAAAGAAGGGAATGGAATTAATGTGAGAAACACAAAAAATAGAAACAGTCTATAGATGGGGAGGAAGGGAGGGGTTGAAGGGAGGGCAGGGAATGGGGAAACAGTAAGAACCAAGAAAGTTTATGTCGAGGTGCACATTTCCAATGATGAACGCCATTACACTGTATACCTTAAATGTACCTATAAAATAAATAAAGAAAAATAACAGATAAAATGCATATTCCTGGGCCCAACCCCAAAATCATCTGAAAAGGGCAAACGCATTTAGATTTTTTATAAAATCCTAGATGGTACTGATGAACTTCAGGTCTATATCCTAAAGAACACTACAGTGGCATCCACATGGTGAATTTCTGCCTATACATAATATCCACCTGAAACTTAGAATTCACTCTGAATTAATTGTACAAATCTTGGCTGTTAAAAAAAAATAGGTGACAAAAAGGCACCCGCATTTTGTTCTCTTCCGGGCGCCATGGAGGCCCGTTTCTGAAAGGCTCCCTGCTCTGCTCCCCGCTGACCTCACTCTGTTCCAGGGCCCTCTGCCAGGAGGTGGGTGGCTACTCACTGATGGAAAGGGACAGGCAAGGGCTCCAGGGCTGACACCGGAACCAAGCCCCGCTGGCCAGTCACTAAGGACACGCCTTCCCACTCTGATTCCCCTTCTGAGATCTTCACGGAGATTAACTCGTTCTTGCAAAGTTCCAAATACTCCCCTTCCTGCTCGGCTGGCTGAGCCACGGAGCACTTGGCTCTGCAGAAGAAGTGACCTGTAGATAAAGAGAAAAGCCTTTCCAAGGAGCAGCAGGAAATGAGAAGGGATGGTAATGTTTCCACCCAGAGTCCAGATAGGTTTACTCCTGAGAGTACAGCAGACTGTCCAGGGGGAGACACTCCAAAGAAGTCCTTGTGAGCCCAGGAAAACTGGCAGGAAAAAAAAAGCCTGTAAGAGGGAATTCGCTGAAAATAGACACCACCATTCCTGCACGCTTTGTGAGAAAAAAAGCATACTTGGGACTTTACCTGGAAGAAGAGATGAGATAAGAGACAAACACCTTGAAGAAGAGACCATCTTGTGAAAATATGTTTCCGTTTAACAGAACTTCAGTTATAATTGCAACCTCACACTTAATCTTAGAACCAACAAAGAATAAATTAAATTGATTTGGGCAAATACTATTACTGTAAGTTGTGTAACAGCACAACATGAAATTCTTTCCTTCATATATGATTCATGCAGTGCAATCGTAAAAAGAATCATTTTGTGAAAATATCATATGTACATCTGATGTGTCTGTTAGCTTATTGGACCTGACCACCTGCTAGGCTGAGGCATCTTCGCTTGTAAGCAGATCAGCGGGTGGGTCAGCATCACCTTACTCAACCTCGGGGAGTACCTCAGGCTTTGTAAGATCTGCAATCTTGTTTTACAATCAAATTATATCGTGTCTATATATGCATTTCTCAATCTTGGATGTCATCAGAATTATGTAGAAAACTTTTTTTTAAAGATGGGCATGCCCCATCTCCAGGAAAATATTTGGCCTAAATGGATCTCTGGCATGGGTGTCTTTTTAAAACTCCTCAAGCAGCTCCAATATCAATGAGTGTGGCAAACCAGCAGAGTTGTTTATGTGGTGACAGTGTTGAACTGAGAGGTTTCAAGTACCATTGTAAATATCAGGTTGGTTCACCTGTGATTGTTCCGTGTTTAAATGAGTTTTGCCTCCTTATGTCTCTTAATTATTTCAGAGGTTCTGATAATATTCAGGTGAGGACCCACTCCCACCACTAGCCATGCTCACCTTCCTGTATTAAGAGTCCCAGGTACATGGTTTCCAGGTGTTTGTCATCTACAGACACCTGGATCTCTGTGTCCTCCACCAATCTGCAGTTAAGCCAGTAGTTGTGGTCAAAAAGGAGGTGCTCCAGACATGTGGATACATAGCCTAGAAGTTAAACCAAGAAGATTCCTGATCAAGACAAGTTCTGCCCTCATGGACCACAGAATGCTCTGCCCTTAGCAGACCACAGATGTATTTTCAGCATCTGTTGGAAAATACAAGTTGTGTTTAGATGATATTTATCATTTTTAGCATCTCGGGCATCTCTGTAAGTGCACAACGAGATGACCAAACCTAATTTCCTTTTCTTAAGCCTGTTTTTCTCTGAGAGTTCCTGGTCTCTCCTTGAAGTTCCCTTGACCTGTGGTTCAAATTCAATGATGGAATGACTAAAGGGATCCTCCACTTTTCCCTGCATGGACTCTGAGCCTTGTCCAGTGAGTGCTCAGGAAGCTCTGCCGTTAAAAGTCTTCTATAAATACAAAAATAATAAAATTTAAATAATTATACCTTGAAAACTTGAGTTATGTTAAAATTTTTCTTATTTTACAGTTTGAACTCTTTGTTACAATGCAAAAAACCTGTCTCTCTCCATGCTGACCGCCCATCATACTGAATTAGGCCTGGGTACTTCTACCATTCCACTTCTTGAACTTGCAAGCACACACCTGGAGATCTTAATAAAACATAGATGCTGATTTGGTAGGTCTAGACTGGAGCCTGAAAGCCTGCTTTTCTAACAGGTCATCGGTGATATTGACACAGTTAGTCCGTGGAGCACATTTTGAATACTAAGGATCTCTAATGTCCACAGAAGATGCGTAGTAGAGACAGCAAAAAATCTCCCTACCTCTAGCTTTAACCCTCCAGCCTTGCCCAGCATCTCTCCCTATGTGCATCTGCATGGAACCCAGCATTTTCTGGCATAGTCAGGTGTTCATCGAATTGGGAAGTTTTGCTTCGTGGCTTCGGTAGCCTTTGAAGCCACAGTTCCCTATTGTGAGTTTTTCTTCTTGGTGAACCACATCCCACCACCACTTTACTTGCACTGCACCCGGAAGTCCTTTATTACCGTTTAGAAAGTTCTGCTGCCTGAGGCCACTTTAATAGATGACTTCCTCCACCTTTTTCCTTAATTGTTTTCCAAATATGTGAGCTACGAAGCCTAGAAGCTTAATTTTTTTTTTTTTTTTTTTTTTTTGGTACCGAGGATCAGACTTGGTTCCTTGTGCTTGCAAGAAGGCAGGCAACGGCACCACTGAGCTAAATCCCTGGCCCAAGAAGCTTAATATTTTGACCTCTTACTTGGTCTTATTCAACACTGATTCCCTTTTAAAAAAAAAAAAATCAACTTCGTATTCGTCTCAGTACTTTCAATTTAGTAGATGACTAAATTTTTTGCCAATTGATTATTCAATAAATATATCTCTCCCTGGACAAAAGAAAGCTAATTCTCCACGTGACTTTTTACAGTATTAGCTCATATTTGCTTTAGACTTAGTTTCAGGCAGTTGTGATATGTCAAAATTTAACTCTTCACTTTAGAATTCTGTCTCTTTCAATTAGCAGGACTTGACCAATTCTTTAACACCAACCCCTACAAACTGGCCGAACTGTGAGGTGGGTTCTCCCCCACCTGCATGCTCCACCCATGTCATACCTAAATCCAGGTAGGTAGAGAACTTCCAGATTTCCTCCATGGTCTTGAAGGTGATCAGGAACTGGGCCCTCTGGGACTGGATATTCACCAGCCTGGCAGAGAGGTCCTGAGTAAACAGAGCCAGGAGTCAGCCCAGAAGGACAGTGTCTTGCTAACAAACCCACCTCACCTAAGCACCCAGACGAACTTGGTGGTTGTGGTGTTGATTTTACACCATGAAATCAAAAATAATACCCTAACAGAAACAGCCTAAATATTAATCAATAAGAAACTAATTAAAATAGAGTACGGTGCTATGGCCATACCACTCTGAACACACCCTATCTTGTCTAAAATAGAGTATGGGGCACTCATGCAGTGGAATATTGTAACATTACGAAGTATTAAGAGGAATAAGGAGTTCTTTGTATATTGACATGGACTCCAAATCAACACTGCTAAATGGAACAAAAAGAGTTACAAAAAGAGACCAGGGTATAAAACTATCTGCAGATGATGATACTTTTTGTGCTTTAAAAAAAAAAGTGTGCATTGGAGAGTAGACGACGAATCATAGAAGGAAACTTCTAAGCAAAACTGACTGTGAATATATGTCTACTGATTATTTTTATAAAGCTGACAAACAAGAAAACCAAAGCACATAAAAAGAAAAATCATCCATAATCCTTCCCTTAGAGATCATCAGTGTCAATGTCTTCATATATTAACTTTGAATCTTCCCTCACATGCATTTCCCTATAGCTTTTTATCAAAATAAAATCAATGTACATAAATTGTTTTTGCAATCTTTTCTTTGGTAAATTAAATGTTGTGAACCATCTCTCATGTCATTAAATGGTCCAGTTATATTTAAAAGTTATTTATTTGCCATTGTTGCATTAACATAATTTATTCTTAGTTCTCTGTGGTTTCACTTTTGGATCATTTTACATTCTTTAATATCCTAAGTGGTATTGGAATGAACATCCTTGTAGCTAAATCTTTATGCATCTTCTTGATTATTTTGAAACAAGTAATTGCAGGAAGTACAATTTGGAATACAAAGATATATACATTTTCCACTCCAAAACACAAGCATCCACCTGCTCTCCAGACCAGAACACTTGTTCCAATTTACATGCTCAGAAGCAAAGCAAGAGGATCACAAATCTGCTGTCTTTGTAATACCTGAAAAAACAGGCCTGAATAACTGCCCAGGCTTGATTTTCCTTAAATCTTTCTCTGTTCCTTGAGCAAGCCTCTGGAGTTGACCAAATAGTGATGGTCAGAATGTTCCCCTGAGACCAGGCTCTGCAGTCAAAACCAGCTCCTAGACCCCCACTCTTAAGGAACCTTAGGAGAAGCAGGAAGGGATAAAAAGATTCAAAACAAGAGCCCCTGGTTCAGCAAAGTCAAATCTTAGTTTCCTCCATAACAAACCCTAGAAGGCCCCAAATCTTTGGGTGATATAAGTTCTATAATGAGGGAAAGGTTGCAAGGTAAAAATTTATTTGCAGGTAATTTACTACACACTAGTCACTTTGCTAAGAGTCAGGTGAGAAATATCTCATTTAACTCCCACAATAATCCTATGGAGGGAGTGCAATTACCGAAGTTAATCCATTCTAGGTACACTTTTATAACCTTTAACCAGTTCTAAAATAAACAATAAAGAAGCCTAGCATCATACCTAACTCACCACATTTATTTTCTCTTGGAGGTACTCAAAATAATCGTACATGTTATAATCAATGATGTTTTGGGTCTAATGAAAAATGATGTGATGGTGACTTTATATTCAAGGATGCTGAGGCATGGAGAGATGAAGTTACCAAATGTGACCTGTGGTGAGTGAACTGTAGAGCTCCAGCTATCTCTTAGGTCAAGCTGACTCTAGACCATAGCCTCATACCTAAGCACACCCAGATCAAGCTGTAGCCCAGTGTACTATCCATCTCAGTCGAGCTCTGAGCCTGGCCACACCAAAGGTAATTCAAATCAAAGGGAAACCTATTGCATCAGTCAGCAGCCAGTGACTCCATGTTCCTGTGTTCCAGGGATTAAATACAATAAAATAAAAGTTTAAAACCCCTAACTAGTATTTATGGAATATATAGGACCACTCAAGTATAAGCTCTTGATAGATGCTATCTCATTTTCTTAATCTGAAAAACCAAACATTTTTTTACTGTGACACAGCAATTTTTTCTTTTCATTTTATACAATTAATGCAGACACTATAAAATTAACAAGAACATATCAGTATAAAGCAATAGTCTCTTTCTGCCACTGCTAGTTGCATCAAATTTTACCCATTGCTGACTTTAGTTCTCCTAGGTAGTACCTCCTAAATTGCAAATAATTTGCTCATACCTTTCCTCCCTAGTTTAATAATCAAAAGTATTATCTACCCACTATGAAAAATGAAACCGTTTAATTTCTCCTCTCATCCTAATATGTATAGTTAGTGAAGTTTGATTGGAAATTTTGTTGCTGTAAAAATTTATATGTGCCCAGCCTCCCAGCATTCTGGAAGGCTGAATGAAGCAGGAGGACCACAAATTTGAGTCCAGCCTGGGCAACCTAGCAACTTAGTAAGACCTTGTCTCAAATTAAAAATTAAAAATGACTGAGATGGGCCGGGGATTTAGCTCAGTGGTTCTGTCGCCTGCCTAGCAAGCATAAGGACCTGAGTTCGATTCCCAGGCACCAAAAAAAAAAAAAAAAAAAAAA